GAACATAGCTATAATCTAAATGAAAACCTTCGTTCGATAATCCTACCCCTTTGTTTGTGAGATAAAAGCCGTCCACTGACTTGACTTTTGTTGCTAATGAAAAGCAAGAAGGCTGATCATCTGATCTGTGATGGCGAACAGACTAAACCAGATGCGTCAGCTCCTACCTCTGCAAGCTCACAAACTGTACAAAGCTTCTCTTTCTGCGATGGAACAAAATGTGTACTGCAGTAAGGGCAAGTAACGTCTTTCTGACCCCGGTAAATTGGGGTGTACGTGGACCCACACACTACAAAAGGGTTTCTGAAGTCGTAATTCAGCGGTATAACATCTCTCATATTCCTCTCGGCCGCCTGCAGCACTTGACGGGCTTTCTTGGCTTGGTTTTCGGCAGCTGGATTAGTCTCCAGAAGTTCCCTGGCAAAATGGGCAGCAGTGCTCAGGTTTTGTGCTTTATAGCAAATAGTCATGGCATTCAACAGTGCAAGTCTGCGGTGAGGAAGTTGAAGCTTGCAGTGGGTAAAATAAGCTGCCAATTCCTGCTGACGAACTGGATTGTCAGTCAATTCCTTCCTCTTGAATTCCATCTGCAAGCCCAGAACATACTCCTTTACAATGATGATTAGTTCTTTAACTTCATCCACCTCTCTTCGTGACTCAACCACAATAAATGGAATTGTTTGAAGAATAGCCATGAAATGTCGAAGGGCTTCAGAAAATTTTCCAGCAGTAGTCGCCTTGTAACCAGCCTGTAGCTTCTCTTCCAACTGAGAGAAATTGAACACAAGCGCAGGCGGACCCCGTACATTTGGACTTGCTGACTCGCTCCAACCCCTCTCGACTGCAACAGAAATCACTGGGGCCAGGGACAAGGCACGTAAATAAGTGTGACTGCCCATGTGAAGATCCATAAACTGTGATCTCAATGGAGAGAAGTTCTTTATCCCTAATTGACGGTACAATAAACGCATTGCTGTGTCAAAGTTTCCAGCAGCTATATGTTCAGAAGCAAGAGATGATCTCTGGACCCAAATCTGGCTTACAGGCATGCCAGGGTTGGGAGCGACAAATACAGAAGTGCGTGCATTTGGAGCAGTTTTTGGAGTGTCAGTATCCGGGGGCAGATCCAGATCCTCAAGATCCCATCCTCCCTCAGTTTCTTCATGCACGTCCTCTTCCTCCACCACCATACTAATGTCTCCATTTTGCATGTTATTCACTTCACCAATATCCAAAGCCTCACCCCAATCAGCATCTGCAGTCTCTTCATAATCTTCTTCTGCACCTCTGCCTGCATCATCGAGACCACCCTCGAAAATTCCTTTACTGACCATTAATAAAGGCCAATCTCCCGCACACAGAACAGGACTTGGAGGCATCAACAAAGAAGCTTTCTTCCCCTCAGGAAAAGAAGGAACATTATCCCCTAGTTCCACGGCTAATCGATTCGCAATATCATGGAGCCCATGGACTGAGGCAGTTATATATGCGAGGGGCAGATGTCCTGCATTCTCCAGAATCTTGACACGCTCGTGCACATCACCAAGGTACAATGCATCATGGAACTGGCCCATAACATCATTCTTGACCTCAGCAATTTTCATCATTTTGGACAATTTGTCCAC